TGCAGATATTATTATATATTATAGTACCTCATCAATGATAAAAGAAATATACAATATCAAAAGATCCAAAAATTTTTGTTTTCTTGTATTGGTTCCGAATGGTGGATTTGAATTCTGAATTCTATGGATAGTTTAATTTGAGCTCAATTGAAACATATAGCTTGATTTATTGGAAGGCCTGTATTTTCCCTTAAACTTATAAGCCTAATAACATTTCATAAAATTTTTATTTTTTATTACAGAAATAAGTGTTTGCCATGGCAACTAAAATTGAAGATGAGGTGAAGATGAAAATGCTAAATGGCAATGATGAAACAGGTAAGAAGATACTCCAGATTCTATTTTTTTTTTTACCATAGTGGCACAACACAATCAAATAGAAATGTATGTCCAATAGATGATTCATGTTGCATTGACTATGTTATCTTACACTATCAGGTTCTTCCTCTTAATCTTTTAACCACAATTTCACTTTCTTCTTTATCTGTGAAAATTAAATCCAGCAAAGTTATTACCCAATGAAATTATAAACACATTTCCATGCCTTATGTAATTCCATAGAAATATCTATTAATAGAATGACACATTGTGGGTCTACCTACTCATTGTTTGAAAATTAAAACACTCAAAAAATAAGTTAATAAATGTACACGACACAGTGTTCTCTTGTGTGTTTTGTTTAGGTTGTAGAATGTGAATCGCCCTATAGCTGTTTGTCAATAGAAACTTGTTGAAGCATATCGGATGAACTCTAACAGTGTGGGTTGACACCTGCACATGCGTGAACACTATATCTACCAGTTCTTTTTATTAAAATTGAATATACTGGTATTTGAAGATTGAGGTGTGGGAAAACTGGACTATAAGTTGTTAAAACAAGGCTGTTTCTACTGAAATTGATATAGGAAATAGAAGGCTGTAAAATATGTGGCAGGTTACTATAGAGTAGAAAGTTAAAAATAGAACAAAATGGCAGACACTGATGATATTCAGTTACAACACTATGGTCGATTACAGGGCCCACCTGGTCGTAAGTTTTCATTTCAGGTTTATTATCATGCTTTCTCATTAGTTTATAGGGTGTTCACTTTTCTTTAGCTTGTAAATATAAGAAAGTGTTTTCTGCAATACATTAACCTAGATGTGATTTAAATTAAGGCGTTTCCATAGATTGATATTATTGTCTTACCTTAAGGGTTGGACCATCAAAATCCTTTCATTTTTCTTTTCTCTTGAATTTCAATTGCAGTGAAAATAATTACCTGAATCATGAATATATGTCAATTTATGAAATTTTTCGATGATTTTTTTCAAAATTCTAATTAGATATTAACGTAATGGTCAAGAAGACCCATAGATATATTATATAGTACTGGTAGTAGAGATAGTAGTCAGTATACCAATAAACTTTTCACTTCATTGATCATGTCAAACTACATACCTTTATAAATGATATTTATGAATAACCTTTATAGTATTTCAATCAAATTAGACCTATATTTAAAAGTTTATGTAGTATAAGCTTAGATTTAATAAGTAGGCCTACTGGCAAGGTTTTGATATTTTGTTTACAAGTTAGTTTTGATTTCTGTTGTTGATCTGTTTAAATTTAAGGAAGTAAAACACCTTGATATCAAACCACAGTGCTTATAAAAATAGAACCGTACTCTTGTTAAAAGAGACCTATTTAAAATTAGTTCAAGGTTCATTATGTTAGTTTGTCTGGGAATGTTTGATATATTATTAAAATCAGTTGAGTTGTTTATCCCTATACAAGTTTTATGTGCAATTTTCCCTATGAACCTTTCAAATGTTATAATTGAGTAAATTTTAATAAAAAAGTTATACTACTAGCTGAGGTAAAGGTGATTGTGAATTTCTTTAGTTTAAATTATTGTATTGCTATAAACAATTAACTACTTACTAATGTTATTTTCACATAACTTTCCTTTGATTTTCACCATATTATCTACCTAAATACTGACCATATTCACTTTATAGTACTATATGAAACATAAATTTGAAATCTGATAGGTTTATAGTCACTTATAGGTACTTCATAGTGTTTGTAAAGTTTTGTAGATTTTAAGTAAACCACTAAAATAAAGCTAGTAATATAGGTGACCTGACAAAATGGACACCCAAAATGAAAGTGGACAAGGGAGTTCATATATATCTTATTTCAAGACATTTATCTATAAAAAATCAGGTAGTAAGTTATTACATTCTGGATGAAGAGATGATTTTAAGATATTAGATAAATAACTATTAAATAAATATCTTGGGATATTCTAGAAATGAGGTTCACAATTGTTAGTCATTTTTTTCTGTTTTTGGCAATTTGAATTGGCCATCTTTATATATTTTTTAAATAATTTGTAGAGGTTTTACAGATTGAGGACAAGTGTTGCTTTTTGTTTTTCATTGGATTTTTTGGTTAAGGGGTGTATCTCTGTCATTTGACTTCTGGCATGTCATTTTCTCCCTTTTCCTAGAGAAGAATTCAAAGTCAAAAACAGTACAGCTTTCTTAAATACTTTTCATGGCGTCTTACTTTCAGGGTAACACTAACCTAACCAAACGTTATCATGAGTCAGATGATGATTCTACTCATTACTGAGCTAACACACTACCACATTATTCTTTCTTTATTTTGATTCTTTACCTAGATATAAAGTTTATTTTAAACAATTGTAGTTATTTATCATATCTTAAAATGTGTGATATTAGGAATATATACATGATACTGTATAGAATACCAATAGTATTATATACTATATGATATTAAACTATGCCAGCTAAACTCAAAGTTTCAATCAAAGAAAAGAAACAGCATTTAATTACTAGGATAACAACTACGGTTTACTAGGACTGTGGCTACCTGCTGGTCTCTGACTAAACCTCTTAGCATTGGATTATCCATACCCATATACAGCTGGGTTGACTAGAATGATATATAGTAGATCAGTCAGTATAGATTATAATGAGAGTGTATATCTATTGTAGAAGATGGTAAAGAGGACGGTAATGGAGGATTTCATGAAGTCCATGTTGATGATAACCACTCGTCAGGTGATGTTGATGGACAGACAACAGAGCCAGGACAAAATAAACCAAAGGTAGGGGAGATAATTGTGATCGATAATGACCCATCTAGAACCAAATTTGCACAATAATAGCAGAAGTATGCACAAAATGCATTCTTTATTATTTTATTTGGGTCAAGTTTTTTTTTTTAATGAACTTCTGCTTCTACTCATTGGCTATATTGTTTATGTTTCAAAATGCACTTTGATGTTAATTGAATGTTAGTGTAAATCGTTATTTTACCAACAGCATTGCGTAGAAGTGAAATCCACCCAAAGTATCAAAAAGTGCCATATTGTTTTTACACTCTAAACCTTATGTTATGATTATTATTTGATTTAAAAATTGTTCTAACCAATTACCTTTTCTGGCCTTATTTCGAATCTCAGTTTAAGTTTTATTTCCAAGCTTTATTTTGTTATGTTATATCACAATATCTTATTTTCATTTGTTTAGGGTGAAATTGAAGTAAGTAAAGTAGACTGCTACCAATTTTCAGCCAATTTTTTTTTGTTGCAATTTGAGCTTGGCCTGTGTGTTTTATTCTAATATGTATCAATCTAGTAAAATATACAGCTCAAAATATTTCATTTCATACATTTTCTGTGGGTTACTTCATTCATTCCATGACCTAGAGAGAAAGTCATGTTTTGTCCAATCAAATGATGTGTTTACTAGGAGTTCAGTAATTTTGTATTCATAGCATATTCAGTATTCCATATATTATATTGAAAGGTTGTTCTGAATGAAGGAACCCACATCCAAAAAATGGTAGGGCTGTATTTAATGAGATTGAATCGTGCCTTTGTTCTATCTTCACACCAAGTGTTTGTGTCATGTGTAGAAAAGAATCACTTTATGAAATTTTAACAATATCACATGTTTTCATTAAGGATTGTTGCTATGCATGAATATTAAATGAATATTAAATGAATATTAAATGAATAATAGATGCCAATTGAAAGAAGAACATCCATGTCCTATGTCCCAAAGTTGCAATGCATGTTTTCATCAACAAATATATCTTACCTGAAATGTCCATTTTGTGCTTTCTATATATACCAGTACCTGTAAACTTGAAAAAAAGATACAAAATTATACTATATTATTGCGAAAATGGTATGCAAGTATGTACAATGCGCACGCCTTCCTCCGCTGAGTATTTCTTCAAACTAGTTCAAACTGGATTGATGAGCAATCTTGAGCAAATTGTTGAAATAAAGTAGTTTACTCATGAAGATGATATTGAATGGTCAAGTTATTGTTTGATAGAATGAAACTAATATAATTTTTATAGTGTGATTTATTATAGAATTAACATTTTTATAGAAGAAAATATTATCTACAGTAAATTTCTAGAGTAGTTAAAATGAGTTTTTGAGCTTTTTCAGTGAGAAATTAAAAGATAGATTTTTATTTAGCATTTTCATTTAGATTTCATAGTCTTTCAAATACTTTCAATACATGACCTGCAGGCATACTACATTCTAATAAAGTATGCTGTCAAGTTAAAAAAAATCATGCCAAATTTTGATACAAGATTTTCCTCTTTCATATATTATCTGTTCATGTACATCTCATATACAGTGTACTTACAATCCCTAACTTCAGCTATCCCATGCTTCTGTTATGTCACTTATGTTTTCGATATTTAATTTGTCACTATCTGTTAAAATATTAAATGAAAAGAGTGTGAATGATAAGTAATATATAAAGAAAATCAAAAGAGGTTTTCAGATCTTAATATTCCCATATCTATACAACTTCACAACACTCTTTTTTTCTCTTTTATTTTTTAAGTAACAAATCTCCTCAAAATAATGGTTTAGTTCAAAGGTGTTATGGGATTTCTCTTTGTATATTAAAACGACATCCGAATTTTATGTAAAAATGATATTTTGTAGCCAAGAAAGTTACTATTTAATGATGGGAAGAGACATATTGACTACATCTTAGCCTGGTCGATTAAAGGAAAACAGAAGAAAGTAGAAGAGGGTAAAAATGCTCGAAGTATCTTTGAGAAGAATTTAAGAAAAGAAGGTTTAGAAATAGAGTATGATACAGTAAGTATGATAAAATATTTTTTATTGGGTAATTAGCATTGAAATTTTACAGAAAGTACATTTTATAACGGGAGCTATTAAGCCAGTTGGGAACTATAAGTGTGCATGTGCATCATGCTCATTCCCTACTTCCGTCTCAGTATAACAATGTTGTATGTAACAATCAATGAAAAAGGATGTAATACAAAGAGTTAAAATTTACAATTGTCAGACTCATGATATACGCTTACACCATGAACTGAGAAAACTTGCTTTCAATAATGTTCTATATGATAAATGGATAACTGTCAATGTAGTAAAGCCTTCTTTTACATACATGTCTAATCCTACTATATAGATACAAAGAAAATCAGGCCCATGTTATAATTGAATCAATATCACACATACGGTGAATAGGGTCGAACTACCTTTGGGTCGCCATTTTTGTTTTTATAATCTGGCTTAGGAAATTCAAAGCTGCAGTGCCAGCTTTTAAAAACACTTGTGGTATCACTAAGCAAAGCCCCTCATACAATATTGAAAACATAAGACACTTAAATGTGGTTCGACCATTATATCTGTTTTCATCGCTGGCCATAGACTGCAATGTTAAATGTTAATGTTGATTATCCTGAGACAGAAGTAGGGAATTAGCTTGCTGGTCACATATAGTTCCGATCTGTCTTATAAAGTTAATCAAATGACGTCGAGGATATTTATCATCTATTTGTTTCTATTACAGAAAGGTTCTGAAATTCACTATGCGAAGGTCCATGCCCCATACAAAGTATTGATAAGATATGCTGATATTTTGGCTATAAGGATGCCTATGAAAGAGGTAATGACTTGAATTTTTATTATTTGCAAACAAATGTTGAAAAAGCACTGAATATTAATTCATAATTTCTTAATTCAACCTTTTATAGTATTAAACATTTAAATTACAACACCCAGCAAATGCAACAAATAATTGAAACATTGTTGTTTATGTATATTTATTATTGAGCATGACTAACCTGTAAGTTATTACATGTGTGGTGTTTTTTGCGGCTGTGATAGCTTTATGGATCATTTTTCATGACCTGTATCATTAAAGCTTAAAAAGAATTCGGAAAATTCTTGTATGTCTGATACGTATAAGATAATGTGAATCAGAAACGGACAATCTATAGTTTTCTTTATTATTTTTATAACTGTTCACCTCAAATAAGTAATTTCAAAAACTTTTTTTGAGCTTTTCATTGTTTCATTCAAATCTTGTTAAATTAACATTATTTTCAGTGTGCATGATGCAAGCTTATTGCTAAAGCGATCACAGTTATTCCCCCTAAAGTCTTCTTAAACTTACATTTCTTTCATTAATGGTTTGGTTTTATCTTTTCATTTCATCATTATCCCATTGCTGGCGTATTATAAATACACAAATCATTATAGTCACTAGTACTACAGAATATCAAGGAAAAGTATGACGAAATAGAGGTTAGAGTTTATTCTATTTTCAAATATTTCTTATTGCATTTTATTATTCGTAGAATAGTTTTGGCTTCTTTTAGAATGTGCGCATTTATGTAATGTTAGCCTGCTTCACTTGCTTCTCCTATTTAGGTAAGATAGTTGATAGCAACTTGCTATGTGTGTTAAAATTTGTATGTTAACTTTTTTTATTGCATATTTGTGTCCTAGAGAAAGGCAGACGCAATTGTTTTGGTTTCTGGGAACTAACAATCTTGTCTCTCGACAACATCTTAAAGGGTATTGTGTGTTTTAGAGATATCAGTTTTTAAGTTTTGGACAGGAAGACCAGAATTTACCAGTTGGTTACGAGGTATTTTATCTGTTGTAAGAGTGTAATGGTTGTCAGGCATGGGATTAATTATATTTATAGAGGGGTTAAACAGATGTCATTGTTATGATTTTCAAACTTAGAAGTAGATTTGCTTCCTTATCATTTGCAAGCTTGAATGTTAGCAAAATATATATTATAGATTAAAAATATTGCTAAGTCTTAATTCTATATCTAGCAAATCAAATTTTTTTTCTGTGGTTCAAAAAGTGTATCACAGACTTCATACAAAACAAAAGATTTGTTTCTCAGAGATTTCTTTTGGAAAATTCAGAATGAATTAGATAGAAACGTCTTATTTTTCACTTTTTTATCAACTAACAGATTTTGAATATTTGAGATTGTCATTCTGATGGCTTTCATGAAAACAAATCTGGAGTCAGACTTTCAATTGAAAAGTAACTAGAATTATTTTAAATCAAATGCAAAAAAAAAAAATTAGATGTTGTCGTTTTCTGAATGCAATGAGAGAAGCCTTTTATAGCCTCTTTTTCTGCATCGTATTGTTGAACATTCATGTTCGTATATGTTTATGATAAAACTAGATATAGATAAGGTCTGTAGTGTTTTTGAGTTATAGAGTGGGTGTTTTGTATTATGTCATTTTATGTTGGTGTTTTTTAATTTTGCAGTGATATGAAATTAATGTTTGTGTGGTCTAATGAATATAATTTTTGATATTAGTTTGTGTCAATTTTAATGTCTGGGCCGGGGTTTTGTTTGAATAATTGATCAATTGAATTTTGTCTGTTGCTTTTGATTTAATGGCCATGTATTTTGAAAATGGAGACATGTTTCATTATGGCTTGTTGATAGTGGGGTCAAAATGGCTAAACGGCAAAATTACAGCATGTTTTAATTTATGGATGATTATTTAGTTTCAATTGTTACAAGAAAGGCTAACAAATTATCTGAATTCAATACCCAATATATCTTATTATTACTTATGTTATTAATCCACTGATATCAAATTGTTAAATAAGATCAGGTCCTCTATTTTCTGTTAAATAACTTTTTAATTTATCAAATTTAAAATTTCTTATTATAAATGATTCTGTATTTAATTGTAAAATAAATTATAGCAGCTCAGTTATTTCAATTCATTAAATTTCTGGGGTGTGCTTCAAGTGTAATAGTTCACAAAAATCTGTAATATAATAATGTTGATTTGTGATAAAGAATTTAAAGTATTCTTTACAAATTTGATTATAGTTTTTACGAAGCAGAACTTTTGATTGCTTCAAAGTGTCCCCAAATTGTAGAATGAGTGAAGTGACTCAAAGAAAAAAAAATTATTTTATAAAATATTTCTTTCAGATTATCTGATTGTTATTTATAATCTAAGAGAACCTAGTCTATCTCATTGTTTCACAAGTTGTATCATATTTTAATACAGTAACATTGTCTCCAGCTATTTCACATTAATCTATTTAATCTACTACTTATTTATACTCACCTTTCACCTCTGATTAATCATTTAAGATCCGCCATTTTTTTTACCAATCCTATTTTAGTCTCAGAAGTGAGATTGTTTTAGCTAAGCCATGAAGTAATAGTGACCACCGTCGAAATTCGAGCGTGCAAATCCATGTGTGTCCGGAATTATCCACGCATGAATGTTAAAATGACTCATCAATTTAAGATACTGTGTGATATATAGAAAAGCCATATATAGAAATAGTGTTTGAAATTCCTAGTTTGAAGTTTTTTTTAAAGGAATTTTGCAATTTTTGTACATTTCTAGTACTTCTGAAGACTATTTACAAATATTCAAGACTAAAATCATCCACACAAAATGGCGCATCTGTTCCTTTAACTTTTTGTACTTGCGCAGCTATCATTCTTGTCCTATAAGTTACTAAAGATTTTTTTTAATAAACATTTTGGAGAAAGGGTGTGATTGATAATTCATTGAGGGTATTGGTAGTTGTTATTGACTTTTAACAATTTGCAATTTTTTATTTGCTTTTTTATCTTTCATTAGTATGGACATAATGCTAATTATAATTTCAATTAAAATCACAGTTCATTTGGTTATTAAATAGCATTCTGTAATGAATAATTTTGTTAATAAATAGATAATCCTATTATATTTTGCTAATAAATTGAGTGTTTTTAAAGTGAAATGAACATTTTTGCATACAAATTCTAAATGTAATAAAGTTACTTTGTAAGTACAAATAATTCAATTTCATGTATTCTTATTGGTCTGAATATTCCTTGAAATTTAAGGACAATTTTTTTTGAAATTTATTCCTTATTTCCTTATTTATTATTTGCTTCAAAGGATAAGTGTGTCAACAGTAGATTATGTTGTATTTATATAAAATGATTTTGTAGCATCCTGGTACATCAGTGGTTATTCAAATGTGTTATAGAGTTTCTAACCTTGGCAAGACATTCCTGAAACCATTTCTACTGGACAGAGATGCTGTCCCCAAGATAAAGAGAAACTACACTTGTCCTTACAGCACAGATAAAAATTACTTGTAAGTTTATAGATTGCAACTAGTTAATACAGTCTTTGAATTTCCCTGAGCTGTTATTAAACTTTGATCTACCAGACTTGATAATTGTTTCTTGCAACACCCATGCTTGCAATTGTTACAGACCAATGTTTCAAGGGTTATGAATTCAGTGAAATATATAACAACAGTGTTGATAAGTAAATGTCCTAAGACCATGTCCTAAATATTTTTATCAGTATTGTCAGACAAAACTAGAGAACTATAGTTTACTGTATTCTGTTGTTGCATGAACATGACAATTTTTTAATCAAAAGCATGAAGAAGGTGAAGAAAGTATGCCTGTCTTGTTCATGGAATTTCAATTGAAGTATTTTTGGATTCTGATTTTTGATAGAATTTATTAATGAATTTTATTCAGGTTTGAAACAGATGAAAATGGTGAATTAGAATTCTCTAATTCAGCAAGAAGTAGAATTGTGGATTATATTTTAAGAAGAAAAGCTTTTAAAGACGATACAAAGAAAGCTTTTTCATTTGGTGTTAAGAAAATGATCAATGATGAATTTTATTCTGCTGTTTATCCTTTACATGAGGTATATTTCTCAATACATCTTTATGAAAATCTTGATGGCTCAGGATGTTCACTATTTTCTTGTCAATCAAAATGCTTGGTTTTGCAATGTTCTAAATGATACCTTTACTAACCAACATGCTTACCTTTAAGTAGGACGTAATGCTCCATTCATTTCATTTCATTTACCCAAGGTATTATTTTATGTATTCAGGGACATTGGAAAAAAGGTTCTGCAATGAATGCCAGAAAACTGTTGTATGATTACTGGGCTCATTGGAAAAATATGTTAAAATTTCAACCACTAGATCATATCAGGTTTGTTGATGTTATTTTATATATTTAAGGTTAGTTCTTGTCTCAAAATGTCAAGATATATAAAAGAAAAGGTATATAATAATTTGCTTTGTTAATGATTTCAATAGTCCTATTAACATGGCTATTCTTACATTAAAAAATGTTTCGTTGATATTTTGCAGACGTTATTTTGGTGAGAAGATAGGAATGTATTTTGCTTGGTTAGGTTTTTATACTACTATGTTGGTACCAGCAGCCATAGTTGGGTTCCTTGTATTTATATATGGTTTATTTATTATGCATGCGAGTACATCTAGGTAAATATCATGGTATTACTATTATTACTATAAATACTTATTTATAGTCAAATACTGCCAGATAATTAAATAACCATTTAATATAAGATTTTTTATGAGATATTAGACGATTGGCATAATTACATGAATGTTAAATGATTGGCTTAAATTTGTTATATTTCTTAAAATTCTTTATGTCTCTCACTTGATTTGTTTATATATGTCCTTTATTTTAGCAAGGAGTTGTGTGATCCAGCAAATAATATGACCATGTGTCCATTGTGTGATAAACAATGTCCATACTGGAAGATACATGAAGCTTGTTCTCATCAGTCAGCTAGTAGAATCTTTGATAATGATGCCACAGTATTCTTTGCTGTATTCATGTCCTTATGGGGTAGGCATTATTTTTTTCAATGTCAGATTTTACCAATATTGGTAAACATTTATGTGTATTAATATTTCATCTTTTAACCAATTTAAATCTGATATCATGTGTTGAATGTTTATTGTATTTTGATATTAATAAAAATATTAATAAAAAAATCAACATAAGAAGATAAAAATAAATCTAATTACTATACATGATTGTATTAGTCAACATAATGATCTAAGATCTAATACTTCTAAAGGTTATTGATTAATAATTCCAGGTACATTATTTCTGGAGTTTTGGAAGCGTAAAGAAGCTACTATCCAGTACAAGTGGGATTTATCTAACTTTGTATCAGAAGAGGTTGGTCATTTATAAAACAGAGTTTGTGAAGACTGTAAATATGAAATATACATATTAAATATTTAGTACATTGTTTAAATGGTGTTCTCATAGTTTTTGAAGAAAATCAAAATTATAGTAAGGAATATGATTTTATGACCATTGACATGAAAATTTTTGTTGTTTGTATTATAGGAACCACCTCGTCCAGAATATCTCAGTAGATTAGAATCCTGGACAACTCTTAAAGTCAATCCAGTTACTGGGGTAAGTATTAATATATAATATCACAGTATTTAATGTGTATGATGATATACTTATGAAATAAAGCTACCAATGGGTGTATGTTACCCTGCTTAGCCAGCTTTCTTGACAGATTTTTTCTATTTTAGTTTGTATATGAAAAAGATGACTTTGTTATTATTATTGTAACTCAGTTTTCGATCTATTTCTGTTTCAGATAAAAGAACCATATTTACCATTTTGGCGGAGGCGTTTTCCTGTATTCTTGTGTTCATATGGTGTGATGATATTTTTGGTAAGAGAATTTTATAGTATTGCAATTCTTCTGTCACAGCTTCGGAATTGTAAAGTATTTATAATTTGAAGGATTTTTTTATTTCACAAATTTTTCATCAGAAATTACAAGACCAAGCGTCACATCTATACGAGTTCGATCAATTCTACTCTCTCGAAATGTGATGCTATTTGGGTAGACTAATTATTTTGGAAAATCTAGAGATGAAGAAAAAGAAAAAATATATAATATTTACTGCTCAGTAGACAAATTTTGCTAATTTTGTTTTCTTGATAACCTACTTATAATTTGATTTTTACCCTAATTAATTGTAGGCAGCAGTAGCCATAGGGGCAGTGGTAGGAGTTATAGCCTACAGGGTATCCATGTTAGCAGCATTACATATTTTACAAGAGAAGGTTATAGTGGGTAATTCAAGTGATGCTGCTGTAACTACTGTAAAATTAGTGTATCAAAATGCTGGTTTAATTACAACTATTACAGCTGCCTTGATTAATTTAGTTATTATCTTAATACTAAATATTGTAAGTACTATTTTATTTTCATGCAAATTTTTAAAATTGGTTTTTCATTAAACAAGCAGATTGGATCTGTTTTTAAGGAGACCATCTATAAATTCTTTTTTTTTTTAAATTTTATCATTCCTTATGCAAAATTCTATGTGAAAGTTTAAGTGTAAGAACCATTCAATTGAACTCAACATAATACTTTATAAAAATAACTTTTGTAATTTGATTCAGATATTGATCATTGTGCTGATCTTTTAAAATATACCAATAATGACTATATTTTCAGGTCTATGGTTATCTTGCCTTCTGGTTAACAGATTGGGAATGTTTAAGAACACAATCAGAATATGACAATAGTATTACTCTCAAATTATTCGCCCTCCAATTTGTCAATTACTTTGCTTCCATTGTGTATGTTGCCTTCTTCAAAGGAAGGTATGTACAATTATTCAACAAGTTGCAATTAAATTCTCTAATGTTTAGGTTTTGATGTATAGATATAGTTTCTAGTAAATTATCTATTAATCAAATGTCTTATTTTTACTCTTGTGAAAATTTAGGAAATGGAAAAAATATGTCTCTTGACTTGATCATGGATATTCCAGAAAGCACAGTTCTTGCTTGATTCTTATGAAATTTGGCAGAATTTTTATTATTACTCTAGAAGAAATTCTATTTCCTTTTTTTTAACATGGTCTAGAGGGCAATATTGGTTAAGATTCTAAATCTTTGAAATGTCATAATTCAAATTATGCTTTGTTTGACAATTGTTAAGGAAACATTCATGTATTAATATGTTTTGTTTCAGATTTGTAGGCAGGCCTGGAGATTATAGTACCATCTTTGGTGCTAGACAAGAAGAGGTTGGTAATTTTTTTTGCCTTTAAGTTATGTTTTTCCTGCGATACGATATATCTGTTTTTTGAGACAGGACATGCCACGTTATGTGAATTGTTATGTGAATTGTATCGCAAGGTCGTGTATCAATACTTGACGATACCGCTCATTACATGAAAAGCAGGGAGAATGGAATCAAAAAATTTTCTCAGTGACTTGAGTCTTATCAACTTCATTACCAAATATCACAGTTATAAAATCATAAATTAATAAATATTGAAACTGCATAGATAAAGTATTAAAATTATCCAATTAAACCATATTGGAATATGTATTGTATTGCGGCATGATTGGGGATACCCAGTACTACCAGCTACATAATTATATGATACACACCCAATCAACACTTCACTTTCTGTCATATTTGGAGTATAATTATATGTTAGCCACCTATCCCCTAAAGGGAGATAACTCTTAATACAGATATGATATCTTAAGACCACAATATTATGATAAATTGACCATGATGTAACAAACTACTGTATTATTTATTAGTGTGAACCAGGAGGATGTTTAATTGAGTTATGTATACAGTTAGCTATTATTATGGTTGGTAAACAGCTAATACAGAATAACTTTATAGAAATAGTTGTACCGTAAGTTTATTCATCTTTCTCAATATTTTTATTACTAAATTTTATTTCAACCTTTAAGGGAGATAACTCTTATTACAGACTTGATATCTTAAGACCACAGTATTATATGACTATGATGTTAATATTATAATAATGACATTTAAAAAAGATTCTTTCTCATAACTTGAAAAATATCTAATGAAGAAACAGTAACAAAGATTAAATATTTTTATATCTAATACCTCAATGAATTTTTAATTTTGGATTGCAGGAAAATTATAAAGATGATAAAGAAAAAGATATCCAAAGAAACAAGAGCCCAGAAATTAGCCAAAACACCTTGGGAGAAAGATTATAAACTTGGTTCTGCTGAAAATACATCTCTGTTTTATGAATATTTGGAAATGGGTATGTAATTCTTAATATATTTAATGATATAGTAATAATTGTTTGTGTCCTAATCTGTTAAAAACATCACTGAATCGAATTTGATTACATTTAGTCGACTTGTGAACACAATAAAGACTAAAGTTTTTACTTGATTTTAATCAAACTTGCTGTGATCAATTATATAGATGAGATCTTGGACAAATTCGAATTTGACGATCTTTCGATGAACGGTTTTTGAGTTATTGCCCGTGACATACGAAAAACACGTCAAAATTTGTTTGTGAACACTATAGAGACCGTAATGATGAGATCAAATTTTGGTGTTTTTTGCCCTTGTAAGTCAAGGGCATAAAAATTTGTTTGGGAATAGAGACTAAAGTTTTCATCTGATTTAGATTATAAATCATAATTCATAATGGTGAGATCTTGGTCAAGTTATTGGGCACCACCCTAAACATGTATCAGGGAAGTGGGTGTATCTTGTTAGTCAACCACTAGCTAATATATTACATGATTTTCTTCATAATAGTTTAATTACCCTTAAGCTTTCTCTCGTCTGTGTATTGTTAATCTGTTTTCTTTTTTCATATTATTTATTTCATCCATATTTATATAGAATGTTAATTTTTATTCCAGTTTTACAGTTTGGATTTTTGACTATATTTTGTTCAGCCTTCCCCCTTGCTCCACTATTTGCATTATTGAATAATGTGATTGAAATCCGAGTGGATGCTAATAAGTTAATCACTGGATTAAGACGTCCGATGGCTGAAAGAGCTGCTGATATTGGTATTTGGTATAGTGTATTGTATGGCATATCTAGAATAGCTGTGATATCTAATGTAAGACTTATATACTCTAATATTCTAATATTCATACATATTGTTTTAGCCTCTAATAGTTTCAAGTTAGTTTACATGATATTTGCTGAGATTCCATTAAAGTGAGCTTAAATACAGCAGAAAAGTTTGCTTTAGCAGTTATAATTTTTTCATCAAAATGCTATTAAAAAAAATGATAAAAATGTCAATATTTTCTGTTTCAGGCGTTTATTATATCTTTAACCTCAGACTTTATACCAAGATTAGTCTATAAGATGGCATACAGTGAAAATAAAACATCTCAAGGCTATCTAAACCATAGTTTAGCCATTTTTAATACCAGCCACTTTTCAATGAGTCACATGCCTGATCCAGCATTTGGACATGTTGAGTTGTGCAGGTAATTATTGATTTATTATGTATGACTAGGTTTAATTCTTGTTCAATACTCTCTTATTAAACCTTATTTAATTCAATGTTGATTGGTCCTTGTTCATTGTGACGTTATGATAAGTTTCTGTGTTTGTTTATTATAGATATAGAGATTTCCGTAATCCACCAGACCATAAAGACGCTTATGCGTTCTCTGATGTTTTCTGGCATAATCTTGCTGCCAGATTAGCATTTGTTGTTGTTTTTGAGGTATGTAGATATAATGTTAAGTTTGAATTAAAATGCAATATTGAACTCTCAATAATATAATTATAATATTCCAACTTTTTGTTTTATTTGTCTTTAATTTTTGCATTAAATTTGCGATGAAAAGTAGCAATGCCACTACAATACTGATTTCCTGACATGGAGTAGAAAATCTTAGCAATAAAACTCCTTTTCAACTTTCATTTATACAAGTTCCACTTTTACTTATTGTAGTATCAACTAGTTCATCTTGTAACCAAATAGATCAAGAACATAATCTTTTTTATTTTTAGAACATGAACTGATCAGATTGATATTTAACTTTGTATTTTACAGAATGTGGTGATTGTTGTGACCAGCCTTATTGCATGGATGATACCTGATGTGCCTACTATACTAAAGGAACAAATCCGTCGAGAAGCCTATATAACAAATGAAGTAGTATTGAAAACGGAGTTGTTACGAGCTCGTGGTGAGACTATTGATGCAGAGAAGATGGAAGTAATATCAGATGAAGAGGCTAACAGTTATGAAACAAGTAATATGAGTCCAAGGAGACGTGATTTGTCTGATATTTAGTCTTGGAAGTTATTTCTACAGATTTGGTGATATAAATTATCATGTTAAATACTTCACTTATGGACAGCGTAAAATTTTCAACCTGCATACTCAAATATGAAAATTCAAATTCTATTCTGATATTTTCTCTCTGGGAGAAGTTGATATTTTGATATAATATTTGCTCAAATTTACAAATCTGTAGAAAAGAATTTCTCTTGTATCTTAAGTTCATAGTGTAACTATGTTAACATAATGTATATATATCAATATTTTAGAGATAAATTGTGTTCGCATATACAGTAATAGGGTTGTTGTTATATTTTATATATGTTTTTAAGAACTACATAAATTTTTATTGCCTTTTTCTTGAAAACTTACTAAATTTAAAAGTTAGTGCTTATTGATATTAATAATTAACTATCATTACCTATAGCTGCATATACAAAGCTGTTCATATCATTATATACTCTAGTTTTCTTTACGTTTTAGTTTTGTTTTTTATAATTCTTTATTTTGTTCATACACATTTTATGTTACTTTGTTGCATGTTTTACCTTTAAGTTTAATCTGATAATGCATGTTAATATTCATTTAAATCAATGGTGTATCTTCTTTGATATTCTTTTTTTTCTCATAACTTACTGAGGTGAGCAATGTATTTTAAACGACTGTTACATGTTGTGACATTGTATTGAACCTCTGTTTACTGGTTTAGGAATTTGGGATGAAAGCCGTCACAGACTCTCAAATTCACTGGCTGTGGGTAAGATTGAAGCTTCACGAATGGTAATGGATTTGTCCTGATTTGAAATCATCATATGGATAGTAGACTAAGATAAATGCTGGCTCTTCAGTATAAAGCGCTTATGCTCCTTCAGCATGCACACAATTCATTGCTGGTTAATAGGAAGCCTATAATCAAACTTCAAAATTTGAGCTTTCATTCTGCACACATTGTACTTACAATTCATTACTAATTAGAGATATTTTCATAAGCGTATTTTTACAGTTTTGTTATATATTTGCTTTATATAAGCTTACTCTACTAAAGTTGTGACATAGTTTTTTTAACAGTCTATCTTTTTTATCTTTTCTTAAGCTTATTAATTTGTAGATGTAGATGTTTTAATGTGCTAACCTTACCTACCTTTTACTTATAACTTGCCTTAATATTGACAACAATGTTTGAAAATAAAACAGCTTTGAATATGCAGCTATATTATATAGCTTATATATTAATGAATTATGCTTTCATTCTTGCCAGGTATGTATGGGAGCCAGATCTTATTTCATCAGACATGATCCAGATCAACAAGAAAACAAGAAAAGATTTAACGAAAAAACCCACAGACTTTTAACCAAGTGATAAACTCAAATGAAATGCAAAATTTTGTTTTATTTTCAAACCACTTCATTGTTGTGCAATATTATTTAAGATTTTCACATTTTGGCTGCTAAGTTTTACAATTTTTTTCTTTTTGGTTCTTTTAACTTAACGTTGTGTCTAATTCTATTAGTGCTATATTTCATTAACTAAAGATTGTACTAAATCAAACAATCATGTCAAATTTTGATTTTAACAAAATAATTTGAAATATTTATGATACCGGTATGAAGTCAAAAGAATCTCAACAATTTGGATGTTGTTTTATATGAAATAAGAATGTATTTTCCTGTCAAAGATCAGTATTATTTCACACATAATAACTTATCATATACTCACTGTAAGTATTACATCTATTTTCAAATATGTTTATTATTACACATCTAAATAACCTGTATCTATTGAATGCTGATATACTCATGGACCGTTTGTAGGGAAGCGCCAGCTGTAGGATCATAGAAACCCTGCAGACTAAGCCTTCTGCAAATTCAAATTGGATTAACATTAGATTATCAAATTTCACTTAGTTTGTAAGATCTTTATGCATTTTATGTGGTTATAACGTTCTATTAGTTTGGTTATTCAGATCCTATTTTAAATAAATCCTAGACTCTAGTCTGTATTGTATTCTTTCATTATGTAATTAATATATTAACCATGTTGAATACTCCTATTATTTTTATACTATATTTCTTTACAATGGATATCTGTTCCTCAATAAACTTCAATTTGATTAAGCATTTTATTTCTTTCAGTTTGAAACTTTTTGAAATTTAAAACTCATGCTTAATGTTGGGCTTGGCACAACAAAACTAATGTCCATTTACATTTATTGTATATGCAATTGAGGTGGTGTTTCCTCTCTTGATATTTTTTCCTTATATACTGTATACACAAAGCAACATAAAAGGCTGAAGTGCCTGCAAGGAGATGCTCTTTGTTTGATCCTTATTTTAATAGTATTTTACACTATGCTTCTAAATCTATGAATAATATATGTATGTTTTATATACTTTATTTAGTTTAGTAATAATTTAGTTATTTGCTTTTTATGTTGTGAAATATAATTTTTCTCCATTTGACATAATAAAATCTCCTCTTAGTATTTGCTTTGTGTTTTTAAACCAGCTGACTGGGCTTAGTTTAACATATCTACAGTGCTTTTCTGAAAATATCAGGTGGTAAATATTTAGAGGTCTGTATTTCTCAACAAATAAGGTCATTTTTGTAGCCAATGTGACACTAATGATCTGAATTTGATTTTTTTTTTCTATTTAGCGGAAGATGAAAATCAAAACTGTTCAATTCATTCTAGTTTGAAATCCAAACTAGTGAAATAGTTATGTATACATCTTCACCTTATGTCTAAGGATCTAGAACACTCAGATCAAACCAGGCTGCATATTATTATTAAGGTTTGGATGTCCTTACTTATTAACTTCTAATACTGTTTCTAGGATATCCTAGCATTAACATAGTAGCAGAATACGTGGCCTGGATCATGGGTCTACGACATTGTAATATACCCACTAATCTGTGAAGTTATATGTAATCATAAAACACTCTTAAAATTTATCTGTCATAACAGAGGGCAGTCTGAACATTCCAAATATAAAGGAATTCTGGTTTAATTGCATTAAAGGGACCAGTTCTGGGGGTGATTTTGGTGTAAAACATGTAAATAGTCTTCAAGTACTAATAATTCCATAAAAAAATCTAAAAACCAGGAATTTTATTTTCTATATCTTATTTTCTATATTGTCTTTTTGACTTTCAAATCCAGATTATTAGTCAAGCTAAAATAAAAAATTCCTGTTTCTAAGACTAAGGCGAATCTGTTCCTTTAAGGAACCACACAATGTGGGAAGAGTAAGAAAAACATGATAAGAAATCAAAAACATTTTATAAAGTCATATGGACAGATTATAAATAGTTCACAACTAATAGGCAGATTTCTTTACACAAAAAAACTGATGCACAATTTAAACCAAAGTTGAATGCATATGAAAACTGGCTTTATATAAAAAATCACCTACATATTACAGTGTACGCTATGATTCGAAAGAAGATCTTTATACAATTTAGAAAATAAATTGTGAATTGAACATTGAAAATATCTTGTAAATAATGTGATATTTTCAGTCTGTACTCGCAGTATAAGTTACAACCAACCATTAAATAAATTCATTTGAAAGTGAATTTATTTAATGAATACTTGAAAGATTTTGAAATTGGCAGTACTTGATTTATCAGACCATTTTACCCCAATTTCTTTGTATAAATATAATACATGTATACACACAAACAATTTTATAATACAATCACATTATATCCTGAAGATTTCTGGTAACAGTTTAATATCACCTTTATATCAAATGTCAAATAAAGAATATATACAAAAACCAGCATTTATTGCATTATATACACATAAACTTAACAATTAAAAACATAGGAGGGTTGAACTATAAGTCTTTTAATGCTGCTAACTGTTTTTCTATATCATCATCTGACACACCTTTGGCTTTAGATGATTCACCTAATTGTCCTCTATGTGCTGATGGGGCATTCACCATCTGAAAGAAAATAAAATAACCAGTTATTTACAACATATAGAGATGAGTGTTTTGAACAATAGAATATTCACATTGTTGGATTCTTGTTCTCATGGGAAATATAAATTTCAAATTTATATTACTGATCCAAAACTCTTCTCAGCAGCTAGTAAGAACTCTTCTGAGTAAATATTGATGCCATGTTCATTTTTCCTGCACAGTGAGGTTTCCTTTTTGTCATAATTTAATCACTATTGCAAGACAATGTGCTATCTACATGTATAAGGATGTAATAACTAAGTTTTCTCACTTTTCCTGATAATTCAATACCAATTTCATCTAAAACTTGACTGACAATAGCATCTTGTTCTTCTTCATCACCAGATTCAGCTAATATATCATCTAATGTATCATCAACTACAAGATATAAAGTCATATTAATATATTATCTAATGTATATCAACTACAAGATATAAATTAATATATCAATTAATGTATCATCAACTGCAAGATATAAAGTGTACCATCAACTACAAGATTTGAAGTCATATTAATACACCATCTAATGTTTCATCAACTACAAGATATAAATTAATATTAATATATCATCTAATGTATCATCAACTACAAGATATAAATTTATATTAATATTGTATCATCAACAAGGTATTTATTATCATCTTTATATCTTTATATTTATTTATCATCTTATGTATCATCAACTACAAGATATAAATTTATATCAATATATTATCTAATGTATCATCAACTACAAGATATAAATTCATATCAATATATTATCTAATGTATCATCAACTACAAGATATAAATTTATATTAATATATTATCTAATGTATCATCAACTACAAGATATAAATTTATATCAATATATTATCTAATGTATCATCAACTACAAGATATAAATTTATATTAATATATCATTTAATGCATCATCAACTACAAGATATAAATTAATATTAATATATCAATTAATGCATCATCAACTACAAGATATAAATTAATATTATTATCTAATGTATCATCAGCTATTATTAATATATCATCAACTGCAAGATATAAATTTATATTAATATATCATCAACTACAAGGTATCAATTTATATCAATATATCATCTATTGTATCATCAACTACAAAGTGTAGATTTATATTAATACATCATCTATGTATCATAAACTGCCAGATATGAATTTATATTGATATATCACCTCATGTATCATCAACTACATCTAATGTATCATCAGCTTGTACTAGAAATAAATTCATATCAATATATCATCTAATGTATCAACAATTTATAAATATATCATCTAATGTATCATCAACTACAAGATATAAATTTATATTAATATTGTATCTAATGTATCAACAACTACAAGATATAAATTTATATCAATATTGTATCTAATGTATCATCAACTACAAGATATAAATCTATACTAATAAATAGATGAATCAACTGCAAGATATATTTCCATATTAATACCAAGTTGTATCAACTACAGGATACAAATATATATTAAACTTTTATATTTAACTTACTCATTTCTTCAGTCATTCCCATTTTAGTAGATTCTTTTTCAAAATCTTGCATCATTTTCATTGTTTTTTGTGGATCCATAACTTTATTCATTTCTACCATAGTCTAAACATGTGAAACAAAATAATCATGAATACTTTTGACTAAAAGAAAGAATTTAATTGAATTAAATGTAGTTTGACCTCTTTCAAAATATATTTTAGAAACATTAACAACAGCATGAACAGTTTATCTAGAGCCTAAAATAAGAATATTTTCTTTCAAAATCACTATAGCTTCCCCCATCTAATAGGAGACAGCAATATTCAGATATAAAAAAAACACAAACCTTTGTTGTTGTTCCCATTGCATTAGCCATTTTCATATTAGAATGCATTAACTGTAAAAAGAAATGTAGCAAAAAATAAAATCAAGGGACATGGAAATAAAATATGTGATGTACATCCATAACTTGCAAAAATCGAAAGTTTAAAAAAAGAAAAGTCTTTCAAAACTGAATAGTCAATTATCATAAAGCAAGAATTAAAAATCTTTTAACAAACATTCCGAACTAGTCTCAGAGTGTAGACATGAGAATAAGTTATACCTGTCTAACTTCAGTAGGAATGCAGGCTGAAATACATCAGTTGTCTAAAGACCACATAGCATGAAACTCTGAGTAACATTTCTAAAGCAAGAATGATATCAGTATACATACCTTTTGTTGATTACCTATTGCACCTATTTTTGAATTAACTGCATATGTTTTTGTCTTCTGTTTTCTTAAGGCAACTAACTGTTTAGCTAATATGGTGGCAGCCTAGAAAAACAATGAGTTTGAAATATCAAAGTCTACAGACTATTATGGAGAAAAAAATATTTACAAATAATTTAGTTGAATTGTATCTCCTTATTAAATTGAGTTCTTCTTTTTTTTTCCTTTTACCCCAAAAACAATGCATTGATCAATATGCCTTCTTATATTGATTGATTTACTTACTACACAAATAAAAAAAAACAAGCCAAAGGCTACATCAAGAGATGTTTAAACATTCAATCAAATTTACTTCAGACTATTTGCTTGTAGACTAATGTTAGGGGTATCAGAGTCTTATAGCAGCTAACATACTAACCTGTTTATTTCCCTGTTTGGCAGCTTTCTTTATTTCCATTTCCTACAAAAAGAGAGTAAGTTTACTCTATCAAATACAATCAGTTTTGAAAGACAAAAGGCCATATGTAAGTTCACTATTATACATCTTTACTCTTATAAACTGAAATTTTTGTTCTATTCAGCTTTCATTGTAAATCATTTTACATTATAATATACAATAATAGTTGTTCTTCTAACTGGCAATTTGAACTTTTCAGACCTAGAATTAATGAAAGTTAAAGATAAAATACAATACTACTTACAATTTTCTTCTCCTCTTTTTCTAAATTAGCTCTATCTCTTTCAACACCTCTCTGAGTTCTTTTTGTTGTTCTGTCATTTTCTCTAATTTGTTCTATTAATAGAATATTTAGATAACACGAATGAATCTAGTAGCCTCTACATACAGCCTAGCAATTTAATAGCCTTAACAACCTAGCAATAAATGATTTGAATGGTTGACAATTTTGTTTATTTTGCCATCTGAAAGGCTCTCAGTTCTATCTAGCTCGTATAGTGCTGGTGGTGAATTCTTAAATACCGGTAGTATCTCAATTTTCAAAATTTGCTTGTATATGATTACCTTATTAAGTTATTAAGTAACAGTTCATACAGTGTGATTGAATTGGATTTTGAATGTGTTGATGTTTCAATTTATTGTATGTCAGAACCTTAAAGAGGGTCAACCTCATGTCAAACTCAATAGTTACAATGTGGTTGTCATTACTGCTGCCACCGTCAGTTGACAATAGGACTAGTGTCTGTCATCTAAGACGTAAGAGCGGCAAGAAGGCAATGGACCAACGAAAACTTCATTAACTTACGTTCAATGGTTGGTTTCTTCTTGAAAAATCCAGACATCTTGAGAATACTGATTCAATACAAAATCAAGTCGAAATAGTTTTCAAATAAAAACAAAATAAAATGGTAAATTTCGAAACAATCTCAATGACTAAGATAACTGTGATATTTAGAAAACGGAAGTAGAAGTATTTTGTTTAGAGAGGGCTCTATCTACTTCCGGTTTTATCTTAGAGACGTTTCGCCTCAGGTTTTGTCATTGGGGTCATTTCATACATCATTCAACGGTTCATTGATAGGTAAAAGTTTTTAAAGGAATACTACCTTTTGGACATACAATTTTTAGTCTCAAACTTGGTCAAGTGTATATACTCATCAGTTGGACTTAACAGGTGCCATTTCTAAAAATCTCTACATAAGATGATTTATCCACTAAACTAAATAATTATTAAAACACATGTTTCAAAATTACTTAGTTTAGTGGATTACTATATTATGTTTTTTTTTGGATTATGTTATATCGTTATGAAACAAAGTAAGCCCTTTGAAGAACAAAGACTCACTTTGGCCACGTTTAAACATTTAAAATTTTTGGTCACCCTAAGACGTTGCAATACCGTTAAAAAAAGTGAGACAAAAATAAAGATGTGTACTCTCAGTTCATGATCCATTCAGTTTAATTACAAGAATAGTTTTTATACAGTTTTATACAAATTCTATTCATTTATGCATAATATAAAACAGAAAATCTACGAAAATATTTTTTTATTATTATTATCAAGATATGATCAACAAACAATACAGATGATATTATCAGGAATCTTTAGGCACTTGATGTAATCTAACATAAGCCTCTGGACGGGTGAATGTTATAGTAGTAACAGTTTCATAATTATGACTGGAAGTTATCATTTCTTTACGTATAACAAAATAATCCATTGCTTGTAATAGATTGTCTTTGAAGTTCTCGATTGATGAAGTTTTGAAATCAGGTTTAACTACATCTGGTATTTTTAGCTCATAATCTTTGTGTTTTAAAAATTCGAAATGCTTCATTTTACCTATTTCTGTTTTTGGTTTAACTTCTGGCAAGCCTTTTTTGTTTAATCGACGGAACATACCAAATGCTTTAGCAGACTGTTTTGCTTTATTTGCATCAGCAACAGATTTACGAGGGGTTTTACTAGGTTTTGGACCTAAATTGGTCATCATCTTATTCACTCGACAAAACTTTTTGAGGATATTTAAAACTGGGGGTTTCTTTTCCTTCTTAGATTTCATGGCTTTGATTTTCTCAATACTGTACTTGCGGTTAAGTTTATTGGAATCAAAAACGGTATCTTCAAAATCATCTTCTTCATCGTAAACAGGCGAGTCTAAAGATTCTACATCGGAATCACTATCTCCAGTTGTTGCTGTTGGTATTCTCTTGCTATATCCACCTCTATATCCGCGATTTTGTCGTTCTCCAACGTTCCCCATTGGCGTGTATTTTTCACCGATACTCTCAACTCGGGAAACTCCTTCGTAAATAGGCGAGGTTATTTTGGGTAAGGTAGTATAAAACTGTTCATCAAAACGCCTGTGGGAAGTTTTTGGGACTGTATCAGAGAACATCGAGTTTTGACGTCTTCCCCGTCCTACTGAAGATGGTGGTTTGGTAATCACGTGTCCTTCAGTTTTGTGATCAGAGCTAACATTTTTAAGACAATGATTTTTTGCAGCATCACTATCAGTTACACCTCCAACCATATTAGCAAACCTTTGTCTATCAGTTACGATCTTTTTGGACGGTTTTTCCACGACAGCGGTTGCTCTGGAACTCTTTTTTATTCCGATACTTGTAGATCTCCGGACCTTTATACCATCTGATAGTTTCTTTTTCTTTGAAGCCCCCTTTTTAAATCGTGGATCATATTTATTTTCATCTTGAAGAAAACGATAGAACTCCCCGAATGACACTCTTCTATCATAGATTCTCATGAGGGGTTTGTATGATCCATCAGATGATTGACGGGAGTCATCAATGCATTCTAGTTTATTTTCTTTCATTTTATCAGTAAGATGTTTGACCTCCTCTATTTCCCTTTCTCTTTCTGTCATTCTTTCTTGCTTCAGTTTTCGTAGATATTCGGAAGCTTGAAAAGGTTCTGTATGTTTTGGGGTAAGTTGATTGATATAAAACTCATCACCGGGCGGTACTCTTCTGCCGACCAAACCTCCAAAGAATGTGTTGGCGCGGCGGGATCGACCTACTTTTTTCGATTTATCAAATAATATTTCATCCATTTTAGCTAAACGTTCACTGCCATTGCCCGATATTGTGGATGCATTTTGTTCGATTGTAATAGTGCTAAGTTGATCCGACGAAGGTAGAATTGTTGAACCTGATCCAATGGTTGGGGGTGATTGCATCAATTGACTACGTCTTCTTGAGTTATTCATTGCTCGAAACCCCTCAGCCCATCTCATAGCTGTTAATGTTTCCATCCTTACATCTTTATTCTCTGTCTGAGCTCCAATATATGTTGATTTAGGTGCACGGACCAAAGACATAAAATCACCTGTTTTCTTCTTTTTCTTGTTGGATTCCATAAGATCGACTATATCTATCAACCTGGTAAGTCCAGCAGCCTTAGCAGCCATTTCTTTATAATCTCTCCAACTTACTAATGTTTCCCTTTTCTTCTTTTCATTACTCATCTTCTGATTTACACCATAATATATAAATTCTACCAGTAATGTTTGATCTGTAAATTCTTCTTTCTGAAAAACAACAATGATAACACTTAAATGCTGATTATGCGAAGATGATGTTGGCACATGATAGCTACGGAAGCACTCAAATTCAAAACCTGTGTCAATCTGCCTGAATGAACAATTTAGATGGTCCGTTGATAGTAATTTGGAATTGATGCATTATGAAAATATGACCACTAGCCGTTGGAAGATTTTTTTAATTTTCTCTTCTTTGGACGCTTTATAAAAAAATATCTAAAATTTTTGCCGGCGATAGAAACGTTTACTGTATGATAACCCTGTTTCAACCAGAAAAAAAAATCAAAGATAGCCTACTTACAGCATCTTGAGAGTTCACATAACACCTGTGGACTCGTCTTTTATTTTTCGCATATGCAAACGTATTGTGACTTGTTACCTCTTCATTTTTCTCCAAAACACATAATATCGTTTTCAGTAGCTCTAGAAGTTCGCCTTCTAATACTCGCAAAGAACAGTCGTCTGCCCAACCATCTGAATAGAGATATTCCCAAAATTCTTCTGAAATACAGAAAAAGGACATGTTGCAGGATTTTGACCCAGAGATTAGATTATAAAATCAATCAAAAACATTAAGCTTGATTACGTGTGGATTCTCGTCATCTCCATGGACGAGGTATGGGGGCCTAATGGTTAAGGTGCACCAATTTCACCATAGCTGTCTCTCAATGTCACTGGCACGTTGATAACTCAATATCATAGATGATTCAGACTTCAGATGCTTTTTCTAACTTAAACTTAGCCACAAGGGTTTGTTTCGAAGACCACCTTATTAATCTGGATCAATTCCAAATCAGAGACTGACAAACATACCTGGATTTAAAACTTTCCAATCTAGAGCTTCATCTGAATCAAACTGTTCACAAACAACAATTGAGGACAATGGTATTACGAATTTACTACTTGGTTGATAACATTCAGCTTCTTCGTCTTTCAAATTAGTTCTCTCTAGAAATGGATTCAGTTGAAAATAGACTTGCTTGACTCGTCTTTGAAACACAGAACATGCTCTCTCGTACAACGGGCCGTTGTAATTCGCCATTTTCGTTTTTATCCCCACTTTTATACCTCATTTGATTATGACGTCATTGTTATCCGTTCTGTTTCTTTGTGATTGTTGTGATTTATCACAGTCTATTATTAATAGTATTTATAATTGGGTGATACTGTAACAATCACGTTCAATATACTTGAATATTGTAAGATTTGACAACTCTGAGAAAAACTCTGAAAAAGTTCATAATATTTAGAATTTTTTTTTATATCAATCAACATTTTTTGATTAGGCCTATAGTTATCATAAATAGGGGCAAAAAATTTTCCGAAAATATCACACTGTCACTGTAAATCACCTTTTTTATTGTCTTCAACTATAAAATGCTCTGGTAAGCTCGATATGTAGGCTATGTGTAAATTTGTATTCCTGTAGGCGCACAGCTTTCAATTTTATAAAACTTATTTTAACTTTATAAAAACAAGCAAAAGCATCCCCACCCCCTTTCCAATAATCCTTGAATGTCATTACATTACAATTATTTTTACAACAACTTACATTAGAAAAGTGTAGACATATTTATAGTATGTTACTGCAAACGAAAATTTGTACTAGTCTATATGACCAGACGTTGGAAAATTGTTGAAAAATTAACACTGAACAATTATTATCATTATTTAATTAAGTTTTGAAATTCTTATAATTTCTTTAAATAGAAAGTAGAACACTAGCTCAAAATAGACGTTTGTGAATGGAATTTATAAATAGTTACTTCATTCTAACCAATAGAATGCGAGAGCTACATTTAGATATAGGTATAGTTTATATATTATAACTGTACATGTATATAATTATCAATCAGATTCATATTGGATCCAACTTATATGGAAAGCTCATGATTAAAGTGTTCAAAATGTTCCAGTGTATTACAAGACAAGGTATGTCTACTATAAATTAAAAGTTTTCTATAGTTCTAGTAGGCCTATGATATATGCAATTCAAAACAATCAAAATTATTCATTGAAAGATAATAAGACTAATGACTTTTTCAAATTAGTAAGTTATCTCGATCAAATGCATTTCGCTTAAGTGAACAGAGAATAAATCTGAATTTATTAGACCGATATAATGCTTATGGTCATTTGTAATTGATAAACTTTCTCATATGAATTGTTCCATTGTTTTGCCAGACTTTATTTTATTTTATTCCTTTTTTTTGCAATGATCGTTTGTACTCAAGAGGGTTTTTATTTTTTATATTTATTAAAGTATTATTAAAACTATTTCAGACAGTAGTTGTAAGAAAGTTACTAGAAAGAAGTTAGTGATAGTAGGAGATGGTGAATGTGGTAAAACATGTCTATTACACAGATTCGTCAGAAATGAATTCAATGAAAATGGTTATTTACCAACAGTTTTTGAAAACGATGTTGTTGAAGTTATGTATGGAAAAACACATGTAAGATTATTATTAATTACGTCATAGAAATGTGAGAATTGTGGTCAAATAGATCTTAACCGTTATAGAAGCGAACAGAAATTCTATCCATCTGGGATTGACTGTATACGCTAGCATACAATACAACCAAATCGCTACATTTGCAAACTTGTACCTTGGCATTGTGAAGATATGTATATATACATCGTCAGTTGTTATTCAGAGATGGAAAAATATACAATATGTTTAACTGATTGTTATATTATTTTTCAGGTAGATTTATTATTGTATGATACTGCTGGACAAGAATGTTATGATAGATTACGACCAATATTCTACCCTGATACTGATATCGTTTTGATAGTCTTCTCTCTAGACAACCCGGACAGTCTTACTAATGTGGTTATAAACTGGGCACCAGAGATCAGACATTTTTGTTGTAAAACACCAGTAATATTAGTTGGTACAAAAAGTGATATTAGAGATGAACATTGTGACATTGATGCCGTATCTACGGTGTTTATTAAGGAAGGGCCAGTCAAGTACAATGATGCTGTGAAAGTGGCCAATGAAATAGGCGCAATGACATATTTGGAATGCTCAGCTAAAACAAATATTGGTGTTGAAACAGTGTTTAAAGAAGCGGTCAAGAACTGCTTTACCAAGAAATCCAAGAAGCGAAAACCAATTCTCAAATCCTGAATCTACCATACCATTATCCCAAGCCTTTTTGATAAGGATATCCATGGTACTCGAGAAACATTATTAAGGATTTGTCGTTACACAATCTGACTTGACTGAGACTGACATGAACATCAGATATGGACAATCCGAGCGTGGTTTCATCCAATGTGGTTTTAGGTCCACTTGAAGAGAATGCGTGCAATTCATTGATTTATCTTCATTATCTTAAAAATATTTGTTTCGTTACCTTTCTTTACCATATGTATATTATTGAAAATGATTTGCTGTGATATTTGCATATTTTAATAAACCATTTGATGAAAAGGTTCGTTTTAGTTTGAATATTTAAATAATCTTTGTTCAGGTCGACTGGCAATTCAAAGAATCTCACCAGATTCCTCGCGAAACTCTATTATCAAGATATTATCAACAAATTGGCCGTCTACAAGCAACTGCAGTTGCATGACGTAATAATACGATGGTCGCAGAATCTATTCACGTATGTAGACGATAAGATTCTATTGTTGCAAGAAAGTAGAACATGAGCAAATGTGTGGCAATTGGTGTTGCAATCAGTTTGGGTACGTCTTGCGATTCTTCAGATTCTCTTGCTAGTAGTCGTCAAAAATCCAGTCTCTCAGATAGGTTAGTCAAACATCTTCACATTGTCAAGCTATTACGAACTTCTTACTTATACCATGACAATTGCTCTTGCATCACGGAATACAGAAATTTGATTGGATTGTACGCTATGGAATACAGGCAATCACAGAAACATTGACAGAAACATTATGGCTTATGGTTTGCAGACTTTCTGAAGATGTCTTAATGTTATTGTTGCGGAAGTTCTTCTGCAGAATGTCACTAACACCTTCTTTGTCGTCATCTTTGTCTTTCAACCTGAAAAAGAGTCCGTTCTAAATATTTCCTTTACCAACTGATAAAGTTCAATTTCAGCTATCCAAAATATTGCCAAATAACGACGTCCAGTTCTACTACAAGTATTCAATAAAATCGTTTTAAATCAGTTTAATGCCGAAATATTTCACGATTACCAATGGCTTCATAATATCATTATATAGATAACTGTAGATCTTTAAACGACTTTTACGAATGTGACCTTATATTCTGAATGTAACTTCAGATTTCTTTATTTCCCTGGGAGAGTTTAACCATCCTCAGACATGTATACAGTATTCTTTTTAAATAACACGTTCATCTAAAGACCCGAGACCCACTGATGACATTGGAGATACTCGTAGAGCCTCTACTTCACTAAAAGGTATGCATATGACCGAGTTCTGTAAAGTATGCAGCTTACATCTATTCAACAATCCCAAGCTTCATTGAACAAATAATTCACAATAATGTAGGATTGTTGACTGAATTCAGTGACGTACACAATTTACGTGAATAATTTTTAAAAACTTTTTTGTGTCATTTTTAACTCGAATTAAACAATCAAACATAACATAAGGCAATACATCGAAAGAAATGAGTCACCTTTACAAACCACTGAGTCCTTTGTAAACAACGCCTACAATTTAACATGAAAAGAAGGCAGAGCCACAGGTAATATAAGCCAATTGGAATGAAAGTTATATTTAGATTGTCCATAAGGTGGTATATAAACGAGTTATAAATTTTATATTGTTCATACATGTGATTCCAAACGCTTATATAACACATTCGGTTATTATACGTATTTAATAGAAAGTGAAACCATGTTTAAGTGTGTAACAAGACAAGGTAAGTCACAAAGTCAGCTTTTTTTTCTTTTTTGCCATCATAAATGATATGCTTTCGAGAAAAGTCGAGCGATCTTCCTTATTATAGTTAGATCCTCATACACGTGTACGTACGCAAACCAAAAATTGCACCATCTTAGGGTAAAAGAATATTCTTATTCGAAAGTTACCAAAATGAAGAATGTTAGACTTAAGCTATACGCCGAGAAAGTTCATAGACTCAAAGAGGGCGTTTCGATATAATTTCTTTTTTCTCTTTTGCAGACAGCCTGGCTGTTATTGATCCTCAGAAATGTTTGACGAAAAAGAAAATTTTAGTAATCGGTGATGGGAATGCTGGTAAAACTTGTTTAATAAACAGATTTTCATATGGTGACTATAGTGATAATAACATACCAACTGTTTCTCACATTACAGTAGAAAATGTACAATATGGTGAAACACCGGTAAGTTCAATCTTGAATTTCAACCTTAACAGTTGTCCATATGCCCCTTATTTGTACCCCAAGTCTCTTGAGGCTGACGTTGCCACTAAATGCAGTTTGTTTTCATATCATATAATTGTAGGCAGTTGCTTTCAGTTATGTAAATGAAAGCTGAATTTATTTTATAAATGCATCATTTTGAATCAATACTTGGATGTATTTCTCCTTAGTCATTGACTGACTTACTTTTCAAAACTTTGAATAACAAACATACCGAGATATTGATTTGTGTGTATGAGTTTGTAATGATCTAATAGCCATATTCAATATTTTATATAGCGAATTGATTACGTATTATAGACGAATTATTCATCTTATTACATAATTAAATACTTGATTGAAAAATCGATAATTATTGCTTTTTGATATAACCAATGTATATAAATAGACCTATACATTTATTATAGTAATTTATCATTTTAATTGAGTGATTCGTGATTTCATAAATTGCTTTTTATTTGCAAGATGTCAACACTATAAATACTTTTCCCCATATATGGAAAGAGTGATACGCACCAAAATGACAGTTGTTCTTAAAGATGTTTTGATATTTGTAGCATTCTGGAATAATTTTTATCTTTACAGATTGAGTTATGTCTTCACGATACAGCAGGACAGGAAGATTATGGAACATTTCGACCAAAATCATATCCTGGAACTGACGTGGTTATCTTGTGTTTCTCTATTAACAGTTTAATAAGTTTAGAAAACGTTTCTCTAAATTGGTTACCGGAAATCAGACATTTTTGTGGTTCTGTACCAATTATCTTGGTGGGTACTAAATCCGATTTACGAGTGAACTGTAATAGTACTGTAGGACCAGTTAAATTTGAAGATGGTTGTGCGATGGCTTATAGAATTAATGCTCTATCTTACGTTGAGTGTTCATCAAAATTAGATAAAGGTGTTGAAGATGTATTCCATGCAGCCATTAAGGCATCTATCACAAAACAGAAAAAGAAACGATTCTTTTAAGAAAACAAACCTTTATCGGGTCAGTGCAATTTTACACGGGATGGCGGGTTAAAGGAACACAATTGGTTGTTTATAATCAATGCGATCAAATAGAAATATGTTCATCAGGTGACCACCACAGATCGGTTGCCTCGATCGCATCTTGTGCTGTTCATAGATTTCATTATCAAAAATGGCAAATTTTATTAAGGTTTTAATGTTTTTATTTATTTTCTAGTCTGTGATTAATGTGTTTTACAATGATTTTTTTTAAATAAAATACTCAAACGATTAGCTATATACATGTAGTTCTATATAGATTCCTAGATATGGAAAAATATAAAGCATTACGATTAGCATATAGCAATTAAAGAGGGGCGGTACGCCATTTAACCGTTCAAGAAAAGATCGTCATTTCTACTTACGCTCTCAATTCTGGAAACACATGGAAGGCTCCCATTTCGATGATGAGCTGTGAACACCATTACTGAGACTAAGGTCGAATTGGTCAAACCGATGGCGAACCCTTAAAAGAATGGACTATTTGTGGATGAAATGGAAATAGCCTAGTTCATGTGGACATAAAACAAGTGGTTGCATAGTAAAATCGCTAACTTCACGGATACATTTTCAGAAAATCAAGGGCGGTCGTCTATCTGAAAAATCTAGATTGTCCAAGATATTGTTCATTTAAATCAACACCCAAAGTTTCATAGAATTCTGATATAAACTTTCACCTTTTTCAAATTCACAAGTCACATTATACATTATTTAGTTATCATTAAAATCGGATAAAGACTGTAGTCTCTATTGTGTTCACAAAAAAAGTTTGACGTGTGTTTACTATAGGTCAAGAACATTAAATCAAATTCCGTTCATCGGAAAATGGTCAACTTCAAACATGATCAAGATTTCATTGCTATAGATCAGTCTACCCTTTTCAGCCTTCATACCCCTGGAGTAATCATTTGAACCCCTCCCCCCCCCCCCCCCACACACACCCCCGAAACAATGGACATTTAAAATATTGTTAATTCTATAATTTTTATTCAAACTAATCATAATAATCACACATAATAATGGATATATAATCATGCGGCCGCAATAAGATGCTCAGTTGGAAGATCTCATTATTATAATCGATAGCAACAAATTTCATTACAATAGTCTCTATTGTGTTCATATTTGTTCACAAACATATTTTGATGCGTTTTACTAAGTCACGGGCAATTACTCAAAAAACCGTTCACCAAAAAAAAAAAAATTGTCCAATATAAACAAGATCTCATCAATATATGACCACTTGAAAAAATTCAGATAACAACTGCAGTCCCTGATGTGTTCTTCCAGTTTTCCATCGGTTATTAGATAATCCAAACAAAACCAGCGTCTACCATTTAACTACCAATCAACAAGAATTACCACGATCACAACGAGATTGGTAGAATGAAAAAGAACGAGTAACTCACACCAGGGCCGAGTTTCCTCGCAATGTCATTCGACCCGACCGGATCTCAAGAATTATCAACTACCAAACCAACAGCACAAAATCACCCAATTTGAACCAATCAAACTACGACTACCAACAACTACCTAGTTTCTGAAATTGACATCCACTGGAAGCTAAAGTTAACTTGTCATTTACCTGTCACAATGTCAAGCTGGGTTATGTCAGCAAATATAGCAAATCAGAACCCTCGACAGAAAGACTGTAATCATAATGGCTTATTGTTGACCCACTTTGACTGCTTGTTTACGCTAGAGTACAATCCAATCAAATCGTTGAATTCACAAACTTCCGTGATACAAGAAAGATGGCAAGTCAAGGTATAAGACGAAGCTCGTAATAGCTTGGCGTTGTGAAGATGAGATCATGTGGACGCAAATATGTAGAATGAGCCTACTTCATGTGGATGTAGCCTATTTCATGTGGACTTACGTTACCCCTATGCGCATTCACTGATGATTGACAGGTACAAGGTAAATCACAAGGTTAAAAAAAGTAAACGTCAATCAACAAGTAAAATTCTTCTGTTGCCTCAATTCCCTTTCTTTATCTCAGATTTTCTCTCAAACACCAAATAAACCATTTCGATCTTTCCAAGTAAAACGAAGTCAATTGGTGGGTCAATTGGTATTTAGAAAGGGTAAACAGTGCAAATACAAGGTTTTTTCGGTTTTTTAAATCACACAATAAACTGAAGGCGAAAACTGCTTTTTAGAATGTAGTTGGGAAATTTTGAAATTGTCACATGATTGTAATCGACAAAAGTAATATTTATACAGAAATTTCCGGAAAGGAAAATGCCTCTTAAAATACAAACCCGTCACAATTGCTCTGTACATGAAAATTGGTATTGGTAAAGCATACTGGGCGAGAAACGAGAAAGTAACTGGTTCAAAAACCTAACATTATGAGGTATCATATTAATGTAGACTATAATTGGGATTAGGATTTTGGATTGAGGAAAGATATATTAATCTGTTGAAGAGAGATATATCAAACAAACATCTGCGTCAAACCTTTAGACATGGTTTGGTTACGAGGCAACTTGTATGAGTAATATTTCTATATAAAGACATATTATAAAACGTTCACTATATACATTTTTCTTTCATTTTAACACATCACATCAATATGATAGTTCATTATTTTAACAATACAAACTTCCGATTACAGGAACATTGTCTGGAACTGGTGCTTTTATACCAATTTTGAAAACAAGTGCCAATTGTTATCAATTTTATTCAAAAGACCATATAAAAATTTCAACTCACTTGATATTACGTATAACATGGGAATTTTCAAAAAATTGTTAAAAAGATTTCGACAAGCAGGTAAGTCTATATATTTGGTACTAAGGGCCGTATGCAGCGCTCTTACCTTGACTAAAGTTGAACTTTGGCTAAAGTCGAACTTTAAAAAGTTAGGATTAAGGCTTTCATTTTCTCCATTTGATAGTCAAATTTAAGGACGACTTTCGTAAAGATCGACCGGTGTATACCTAAAGTTCGACTTAAGTCAAACTTTAGTCAAAGTTTAGGTAAAGTACGAGCGCTGCATATGGACCTAATTGTATTCTGTTAAAGTCACTATTAGTCCTTTGGGATAAAAAGCATAGACGTTTCGGAAAGTTAAAGGTCATTGTTCGCTATTTTCTGTGGTTGGTTTGGGTCTTTATTAGTCTTCAGAAGTATAAAAACTGTACTTAAATCACACCATCCCTGCAATATACCTCAAACTAAAAATTTCACGTTCTAATTCTATATACATGTACATGTCTTTTCTATGTAATGTGGAGCTTAAAGAAACGACGAATTGTCATTTTAACTTTGGACACACACGAATTTCAAGGCTCAAATTTTGACGGTGAGCTGCCAACACTATTACTGATTAACGTAGCTCAGAAAATCACGCTTCTGTGACTATAGGGTAGGCTACGATTGGTTAAACGGATGGTGATTTCATAATACATATTCGCACAACATATTTTGACAAAATACAAATTCAATAGAAAGTTTTTGCAGAACAATGACTTATCCATTCATTTCATTTTTATACGCCCACATGAAATGTGGACAAAACTTGAAAACGTGTTCTTGAACGTGTGGGAATGTTTGTTATCACCCGAGGATGAACCCTATCGAAAATAAGAAAAATTTAAAAATATTAAGTATGAGTTATTGCCCTTGTTCTTGAAAACGCCTCTAAAAACTCTAAAAGGCCCAAAAAGGCCCAGATTTTGACGAAACTTAGTAATATTATACAGTATCGCCCCAAAAAAGTTCAAAAGAAGTGTATGTCTGAAGGTTGAATATTTCATACTGGTGATTGTTACTGTACTGCCAAATATTTTTGTTTAAAATCAAAGCTGTCAGTGGGCGTATATTACCTTGCCTGACAACCTATCTTTTTATTGTAAGTGATTCATTACTAATACCACTGGGCGACCTTTTGGGCCCCAACCACATAGTCCAACAATTGACCCTGTGTAAGTACCGTACAAATAGATATATATTCTATTTGATGCATATAAGTCTTAACCATTCTGTTGCCCTTATTTGGCCAACCCACCTGATGATTCCTAGTAAGCCCATTGATACACGTTTCTATATTTCTGTTATTTTGTAGAAAATATAGAGGGGAATGATACAGAAGATATTATAATAAAACCTAGAATGAAAAGACTGGTGATAGTAGGTGATGGGAAATGTGGTAAATCCAGTTTAATCAGACGATATATACAACAAGAGTTTTTACAAGACCATTATATACCAACTTTATTTGATGTCTCGACAAAACAAGTTGAAACCGAAAATGACCAGGTACAGAATAAAATGTAGATTCGTATATAATATCCTCTTTTTTTGTTGTTGCAATTTTTGTATCACCTGCGATCAATCATCGCTTCCAAATCAAACAAGTTCTTAAGTCCATGGACCATAGCGTTTGGTTAGTGGCCATGTCCGAACTTTGTGTGTTCCTATTTGGAACGATGTGTATGCATCTATTCTTTCGTCCTCTTTTTTGTTTGCTACAATTTTTGTATCACCTGCGATCAATCATCGCTTCCAAATCAAACAAGTTCTTAAGTCCATGGACCATAGCGTTTGGTTTGTGGCCATGTCCGAACTTTGTGTGTTCCTATTTGGAACGATGTGTATGCACCTATTCTTTCGTCCTCTTTTTTGTTTGCTGCAATTTTTGTATCACCTGCGATCAATCATCGCTTCCAAATCAAACAAGTTCTTAAGTCCATGGACCATAGCGTTTGGTTTGTGGCCATGTCCGAACTTTGTGTGTTCCTATTTGGAACGATGTGTATGCACCTATTCTTTCGTCAGCGTCGTGATGAATTCTATGACCTAAGGGGGAGTACCAACAAATAGCGGTAATTCCCCTTTATCCAAGAACTGAATTGAACTGAAGTATGTTTGAGTACACAGCAATACAGATTGAATAACAAGCTTCTTGCTAACGAAGCAAGCTAAGATTGGTTTTCTCATAAGTGTGAAACATTTCGTACCAGAAATTGTTCTGGGGAGCAACGTTTCACATTTATTTTCTTTGCTGTATATCAAATGTTCAGTCTGAAGAGGTCCAATTGTCCTTTATTGTAACTTGAGCACATTAAGCAGCTATAAGTTATTTCCCTAATATTTTTCAGATGATGTTAGTGATTCATGATACAGCAGGGCAAACAGATCTGGACTCTCTTAGACCATTTCTATATTACCGCAGTGACGTTATTATCGTCTGTTTCTCAGTAGACAATCCATGCAGTTTAGTCAATATAAAAGACAAATGGAAAGATGAAGTTAGTAAATATTGTACAGATGTACCCATTATACTTGTGGGTACTAAGTCAGACTTAGCGGAGTCCGCCTCATTGGACAGATGTGAAAAATGTAAATTAGTTTCAAGGATAGGTCATACTATGTCTACCATTATAGGTGCAGATAAATATTTAGAGTGCTCAGCCCTAGAAAACAAAGGCATTACTGAAGTTTTTGAAGAAGCCCTGAATCTAGCTATTGCCAGGGATATAAGACAAAGAAGACGATCTTCAATTTTCAGAAGGGGATCAGTATTACTTGGATTTGCCAATGACTGAAATTAACTGTATAAGTATTTGAAAGCACAAGCAATGCAAAATATGTCAGTATAAACTGGATGCTCAAAGAATTTAAATGTGACTGAACACAACCTATGGCAGAATAAATCAAAATGGCTTTAACATACCAAATTAGTCTGTGCAATAACTAACCTGTACTTATCTTGTCAATTTCAACTATTGACTGTCATTTTCAAAATAAATTAATCTCATGAAATTATTGTGTTATGAATCAACTTGTTGACCACAAAAGAATACCAAAAAATCAATCTGAACTAGAAAGAAAAATCCACCTGGAACGGCCTTTGATTTTTTGACACTTTTTTAAAAGAAAAGGAATGTCAACACTCTTAATTTATGTTACAATTTATGATGAATGCGATTTGAGAAACCTAAAATGTGCATTGTTAAAGTCTATTTTCAGACATCAACTGATAGGCTTTGAATCTTTTTTTTTGAATGAATTGATCTGAATGGAAGCATCCAGCAAATAAGAATTTAAAATCGAACCAAAGGGGAGTCAAATTGGGTATTTTCGAGTCAACTACAGATTGCTGTTTATACAAATGTGTTTTGGGATGAATAATAGAATACAAGGACATAAATAAAAGTATTTTTATTTACAGAGATTAATATATAAAATACCTATACATTAATCATCCTTATCAATTTCTAATTCTTCCTCATCTATATCTAAATCTTCCATATCTTGAAATAATGATTCATCAACTTCTACTGCAGCATCTTCTGCAATACAAATAAGGTAGCAATAATTAATGGGTTAATAAAAGTCTCTTTATAAATTAAGAAATTGACAATATTTTCAAAAAAGAATTTCATTCTGTAGTAAATTTGGTCGATCCATTACATTAGACTATATTGCAATTTTGTTATTATCTTATGTACATATCATATCTTTAGAAAGCCTTTCTATTATTCTACATAGCATTGGTATGTATACCATTTATCTCAAATTATAATTACCTGAAAAGTTGACATCTGAATCGTTCAGTGACTTGTCTTCTAAAAATAATTGTTTACCTACATACAAAAAAAAAACAGTCAGAATAAAAGTCTTCAAAACAAAAGCAAATTGTCTTGAGACACTGTAGAATGTAGGCTCATGAAACTTTATGAGGTGTGCTTGGCGGTAAAGCTGGTGTTTATTGGTACTAAATTTTTGTCAGCACACCAAAGTCTGATAACATTCCACATGTCATCTTTCTTTATCATTCCTATCTTAAATATTAATGGATTAGATTAAATTAGGAAAGGCCATTGCCATTCCAGAAGTTTGACAGTAATCCTGAACATTTGTCCTTGTAACGAAATCCAAATGTCTCTATGTACCTGTCTTTTTCTTTGATGTTGGCTCTGAATTTTGTTTTAAATTCTTTAATTCTGCCATCTCTGCATCAAATTTCTTTTTCCATGCTATGAAATTTTCTATTGTCACTCGGGTTCCTTCAAATTTTTTCTGCAATACATAATAATCCTGATCAATGATAAACAAACCTCTTGTCTAGATACAAATGGGCAAAGCATTCCTCAAATAGTCATACATTGAAGGTGAGCATGACAACTATCCCTGCAATGAACTGCTAGATAATTTCTGTCAGTGATAATTGATATTTGGGCTCAGAACAATTTTTTATAGGGTTTCAATTCAAGTCATTATTTATAATCTGAATCATGTAAAATATTAGATTTTCTTTTTTGTGTCTCTCACATAAACAATATGCTAAAACATCTTAACAATGGTTAGAATTATCATAATTACTATGTTCCTACAATGTCATAAAAATCAATAAGAAATTTGCAGTTGCTTGTTAACTTAATTTGTTACAGATGTTACATTATCTCGTTATGGTAGCTGGACATGATAATTAAGTTATCAATAAAAACTAAACAGTATCAAATTTGGACAAAAAAATCCTAAGGGAAAACCAGCTCACACAAAATTTCACAGTCAAATATTTTTATGACAAGAGTTTAATAAATCATTTTAAATCTTGGACCTTACATCAATAGGTGACATAAGTACAAATGTAATAATAAAAGTAGTCTTATCACTTTCATATATAGCTGATATAGACCAGGTAGTGTAGGGGAGGAATCACTAAACATGTGGGGTAGAAGTGAATCATTTCTGGTCATTCTAGAGCTAATTGAATCCAAATCTGAGGGGTAAATGGTCAAAGGTCAAATAAACGTCATAGTCCTTATTTGGGTATATCTTGCCTTTTTCAGCTAAAACTTATTATGTTTAAAGGGAATATTCTTACAAAGGCTACTTCTTCTTCTTCTTTTAATTTTCTCTCTTTTTCTCTTTCTTCTAACTCTTTAGCTTCTTCTATCATACATGCCAATTTTTCTTGAGCAGCAGAAACTATTGTAAAGACCATTACCATACCTAGATTTTCTTCAACCTAAGAAATTCAAAACGAAGTACCGGTAAGTATTTTCAATTTCTATTTGGAAGTACAATAAGAATATATATGGCACAGCAGATAAATTATTAATACAGCCCCTTACCTGTTCCCTGATAAATTTGTTTAATTCTTTTGTTTGGTCAAAATCTAAATTTTCACTATCTGTTACTTCAATGACAGGAGGTTCATCTGGGTATTTTTCTGTGTAAGTGAATTCTAAGGTACAGGTGACTAAAAAAAAGGAATATATCACAATTTATTTCAATCAAATCTTCATGTACAGAGAGAGCCTACTTACATTTTCATATCAATATAATATGCTAGTTCTTTGCTCATCAATGGATATCATGTAATGAATCATACCAGTCAAGGGGGTTGAAAAGAATACAACATTGACATCAATATCAACAAAATACCAATTAGCTTCAATGGTACTGGGTATCCACTCTCATAATATTGTCAATATGAGGAGTATATTGACCACATACACTATACAGGGTTGGCATAATGTCACAGATTTTATTAACAGCAATTTGAAGTTCAAAGAAACAGTAAATACTTGTTTTACATGTATATTGTTTCCTAAAATATTTATTCTATGAAGGAATGCCCTACTAACTTGTGTCATCCTGGTGTTCATCTCCTGCAGCAGACGATATCTCCAAAGAAAACACATGATATGGATCAACTTCAGTTACTGAAACAAAAAGTTACAATGTAGTCCTAATTCCAATCAATTTGAGTTCAATGATATCATTGCTCCCTGAATTTCTTGATAGTTTTTGTGAGAACCCGGTTTATCAGTTTACCACAGTATCGCATTATTACTTTAACCGGCCCATGTACTTCCTCAACCAGTAGTAAGAGACGCACTGGGCTAATTTCACCAGTGTCAGACCTGTCTTTATATCTTTTAATTGAGAAGGTCTCATCTAGGTAAAATATTGTGGGCCATTTTGACTATTGTATTTGTGCCCATTTGACTAATTTTGACTTTTGAGGCCATTTCAGTCTCAAAGTGCCAAGCTGAATATAACCACCTCAGACTCAGGGCAATTAATATCAAACGTTTACTGATCTCTGCATTGCCATAGAGTGAAGATTCACATCTCTTATTTTAATTGAAATTTTTTGTGGGAGATCCTGACAATGTGTACTTGATTTTGGTATTTCTTTTCATTATCTTTTAACCCGACCGATAAAAGTTTTATTGAATATATAACTTACTTTCCAGTTCATCAGAATATATAGATTGCAAGGCCTCAATTTCACTGGCCTGTTCTTCTTTGTAATCTGTCATTGTGCTTAGATTTGTGACAACTTCTCATATAACATAATAATACACTATTGTTTTTTTGCTCTCATAAAGTAACCCATGTGTCAAAATTTCCAAAGGGTTGCCATACTGCTTCCGGTTTGATGGATTTGGACTATTCTCACGAGGAGTTTGATCCTTCATCAGAATTTATCCTAAGTTACAGTTAATTTGGAAATGAATAGATGTACTATAAAATACATAAATATTTTTTTGTCTAATATAGACGTATGCTGACAGGTTTAGGTCGTGGTATTGAAATATAACATGAGATGAAAACATTTCCACCGATTGAAAAGTTGTGCGCATAGTCATCTATTTTGTTATTTCATGGTAATCATGATCAGCAACTTCGCCGCAAATTATTGTCCATAGATTTTTGGCACAGACCATTCTTATTGTATCGATATCTTTCCCGTGTTTCGTTAATAACTACTGTTCAGCCGAAGTGCTGATATTTAGGACCATATTTATATAAAAAATACCATCAGATGCAGATGTTTCGGACTAGGCTAGTCGCATATCGGAAAAGCGGCTTATTACATTCAACCTTACGACTTCCGGTGTTGTTGGAAATTCGAGTCGCAAGTCAAAGGTATTTTTTGGAAACTTCTTGCTCAACATCAAATTAATCATGTCTAGACAGTCAGCCCGTGGTACAGACATCCGGAAAGTGGTGAGTTTTTGTCGACATGCTAATAATGCTCGAACTATATCATGTGATTCAGAATACCGAAACAGATTATTATCAAGACCTACAATAATAATAGTCCGAAAATTCTGACGTTAGGGGATTGTTTTGTTTTTTCCTATGGTCAGTAAATCAAGTGCACTAGTCCAAATTCTAATTTTTCACATCTTTTATAATTCATTTAAGGAGTTTAAAGGCACAGGTGGGCCATTTTGGGTATTGATTTGACACTTGAATATATATGTAAATGGTCTTCTGAAGTGGTAGAAATGTATGAATTCCTTCATAAATATAATCTTAAACTAGGAACTTCCTTTCCTATTACTATAGATGTCTTTTCTGTATATGGCAGTTTCTTCAAAAAAGACGTGGATAATTTTGGACACTGGCTGAGCTTAAAAAGTCCCTTCAGAGACTAAAGTATGAATGGTCACAAAATGGTGCACCTGTCCCTTTAAGTTTAGACTATCAGAGTCAAAAGACTACTTAAGCCTTATAGTATCGTCATCTTCATTATGGACCCCTATTACGACCCTAGTCTTATACCTTGACTGCTACCTAGCCACATGCCGAGACCTCTGATTGGCTGTATCTGCTAGTGTCTATTGCTGGATTCTGTGATACATGAATAGTAGCTATTGCAGTCAAGGTATAAGATGGAACTTAGTAGCATAGGCCTATAGATCGAATTTGAGCTTATATTTTGTATATATTTTCTTGATATACTACTCCTTAGTTTTCTTGTACACAACATTTCAACAATTTACATTGCCATCATCTTTTACTTTTTAAGAATGGTGAATTATTCACTTTGACATATGGTGCTCTTGTGTCACAGTTAATGAAAGATTATGAAAATGATGAAGAAGTAAATAAACAGTTAGAAAAAATGTAAGTTTCACTTCTCTTATCAAAAGAGATTTTTTAACATAAAATCCTTTTTGGGAACAACATTAAAGTATTTACCGTATTTTACTTTGTAAACTTGAAAATGATAAGAGGTTTTTGTATCACTTAGTTCAATTTGCCACTATCTGGAAAGAATAAGCAGTGATTTGCTGATGTAAATTGTGAAACAAGTTGACAGATTTTACAAAACAAATATATGCAAATACACAAATGTGGCAGAATGAGTTGTCTAAAATTCAGAAATTTTGTGTCTAATAAACAAAAGCATGAAGTTATACTATACTGACTACAAGTATAATGGTAACAAATTCAGCCCTTGATATTAAATTTTTAGGGTCTGTTTTTTTCAGGGGATATAATATTGGTGTGCGATTAATAGAAGATTTTTTAGCCAGAGCTAATTCTAATAGATGTAATGACTTCCGAGAAACAGCTGATATTATCTCAAAGGTGAACTATAACACTTTTAAAATTTAGATTTATTAGAAATATGTACTTATCTCAATCCATTTTTTCCATTGATTATGATATTCTTTTGATAAGTTCATGGACTTTTTTTTTTTTTACAAATCATCAATTTGAGATAACACAAATGTAACTAGTGATTAATGTTAAGCTATGGATTGATCACAGATTACATTGCATTTCTTATATATTTCAGGTAGCATTCAAAATGTATTTAGGTATAACTCCAGTAATAAGTAATTGGAGTCCATCTGGTGATGAATTTTCTCTACTAATAGAAAATAATCCTCTAATAGATTTTGTAGAGTTACCTGAAGGTCATAGTTCATTAAATTATTCCAATATCCTAACAGGGGTATTGAAAGGTGCCTTAGAAATGGTAAGTATGTGTTTATTGTGGGACTTTGCTTTCAGCAAAGTCCCAGTTTGTTATCGAAAGAAATTCTTTTTTTTTTTTTTTTTTTTTTTTTTTTTTTTTTTTTTTTCCAAAATTTACCCCCCTT